TAGGCATTTGCCACTACACCCAGCAAAACAGGGATTCTTGAAGTTCGGTGAGGGGAAGGATTGATGATCCTCATATATTTGTAATTGTCATTGAGTACTTCACAGGGAAACTTTCAGTATGAAGATCAGTGTTTCTTGCACATAAGTAATTAATAGAGGAAATCATAAGACATTGGGAGATTCTTTCAGGGGATGGGGGATGATAACTTACAAATTTCAGTATTACCCCTCATTGGAAATATCATAAGTCTTTCTTTTTTCTTTTCTTTTCTTTTCTTTTCTTTTCTTTTCTTTTCTTTTCTTTTCTTTTTCTCTTTTTCTTTTTTTCTCTCTTCTCTCCTTCCTTCCTTCCTCCCTCCCTCCCTCCCTCTTTCCCTCTCTCCCTCCCTCCCTTCCTTCCTTCTTGGTTTTTCGAGACAGGGTTTTTCTATATAACAGCCTTGGCTGTTGTACACTTTGTAGACCAGGATGGCCTCAAACTCACAGAGATTTGCTTGCTTCTGCCTCTCGAGTGCTGGGATTAAAGGCCTGTGCTACCACCGCCTGATACTGTCTTAAGCATGTACATGACTGCATACTTCCACGCCTTTTGTTTTCTCACGAATCCTTTATTATCTCTCATGTCAACCATCTCTCTCCCTAAGACTTTCCTCCATTGTGCCATACTTGGTGAGGCCTCTTTAATCTCTATAAGCAGTCTGCTTCCTCCTTCTAGATTCCCAGCGTGGCTGTTGATATGTTGTCAATGTTGTGCTTTTATTATTTTTCCCAGGGAAGGTTTAATTGATTAGCAGTATGAGTGACTTCTTCAGGTTTTCTTTTTTTTTTTTTTTTCCAGCATTTTACCTGAGGCCTGGATATATTGGATGCTCAGTCATTGTTAACTGACTATATTATACATAGTGTATGTGTATATTCTTGCAAGAATCTATTTAAGATGGTTTATTAGAAGAAAATTGGGGGACTAGGCATCAGTATGGAAACTGAAATGAGTTATTTGGAAATAAAATGAGCTTATTCATGCCATGAATCTGTAAGTGGGCATGTACTGTGTATGCAAAGGTGTTCTCATGTGCCATCAAGTGTGGAGGTGAGAAGTTTACAATATTCTTTTATAAAACTGTCTTGCCTAATAATTTTGATGTTCTCTATTTGGCTCTATAATGACTTCTTCCTTTCTCAGCTGTACCATCATCGTTATAGGTATGGTTCTGAGGCTTTCTCTGTACAGCACTCCTGAGGATGTGAATATAATCAGCATGCAGGAGAGAGGAGGGGATTGGGCTGGTGTCCATGCTCTGAGCAGATGTGATGCTTTTTAGCTCCTGATGCTAGCTAGAGCCCCAACTCCTTCAGAAAGCACATAGTTACAGGGTGGGAATGCACGCTTGCTATTTTGAAGTAGCCTTCTCCTGGAATACGTTATCATTTAAACTCATATAACTACAGAGTACCTATGAATTTTCGTTGGCTCATCTGGCTCAGCTCATTGTCAAATGAGCACATTCAAGTTGTACTGTTACCTTCAAGTGCTTAATATTAAACTGATGCAGAACTGGGAAGAACTTTGAAGAAATCTGCTGCATTAAGCATGGCTCCAGGGACTGACGTGTCTGGGGTGGCGAGAGAATGAAGAAAGGACTTAAACATAGACGCAGCGTTCAGAGAGACCGGGGTCGGGTGGCCTGGGCTCTCCGAGGTAGAAATTGCAGCACTCCAAAGGTCAGCATGTTTACTATATACAGTTGAACAGGGAGGCAGGATTATTATGTACAGCTGGCTAAAGAGGCAGGCCTAGCTAATCTCGCTAGGAATGGTCTGTATAAGGGAATAGTCTTTAGGCCATAAACACGAGGCAGGGGAAGGCTAGAACCTAGAAAGCTATAGTGGCTATTTTCTATACACATTGTCAGCATTCACACTTGGACCGAAGGAAGGCTTTGTCATCCCTCTGAGCCTTACCTGGGGAAGGCTTTGGCACTCCTGTGAGGTTGGGATATTGGTCCTTGCCATCCACTTAGGACTTCACTTGCTCCCTACAGAGGGTTCACTGTCCCCAATTGGATCTTAGTATGCTACTCCCTGAATCACATTCTCTTTATGATGTTAAAAAATATATACAGAGAATAAAGCATGGTTTGCCATGCTGTTCCTTAATTGCTAAAATAATGAGGCCGTGTTGTTCTGGGTAATTTATTTAAGACAGCAAGGCGGTCATTGCTGCCAGTTTTTTAATGAAGATGTACCAAGATGCCAACCCATTCATGTTAGTGTGCCAGCCTCAGAGTCCTTATTCCAGGGATTTGCTAGTCACCAGCTGACAACTAATTTACAAGGCAGGAATACAGGGTTCTTGCTTGTTGGTCACTGACTCGCAAGCAGAATGGAATGTGTGCTGGCTTCTTGCCTTTTCTGCTGGCCTGTGATCTTGAAATAACGGCAGAGGGCCAGGGTGCTATCTTTGGCCAGGTACCCTCAGTATAGTCTTGACTTTCATGGTGGTTAATGGCCTAGTAGAATACAGTACCTTGGTCAGCTATGTCTCTATGTTTGTCCATTTTTTTCCATCTATCTGTTAATTTATTTATTCATCTGTTCATCCATCCACTACTGGGTATAGACCATCAGTGAATGAGTTAATCTCTGCATGGATTGTGTATAGTTGTACCTAGTATTATCTTCTGTAAAGGAACAGATAGTAAATATTTTAGGTTTTAAGACCATGTGTCTTTGTTGTAGCTACTTAGCACTGTTGTAACTGTTGTAGGGCAAAAACGACCATGTTCGATACATAAATAATTGACCTGGCTGTAAGCCAAACGACACGCTCTTTAAAAACAAATTGACTTATAAACTGTAGTGTTCCAGCCTCAATGTATTTGACATGACATAGTTTGTGTGATACATTATGACTTTTAAAAACACTCTAATGCTTGTAAGTTTCCTACTACTGTTTTATGTCTGGCGTTTGTTAGCTTAGTAATCATCTGCTTTGAGATTTACTTATAGAATACATCTTGATAGGTTTTATTATTTTGTTATTTATTTAGATATGTTTAGAGACGGTGTGACTCTTAGGTACTGGTTGTTGATATGAGATTGGATTGGAAATAGCACAAATGTACACGCAACAAACGAATGAATGACAGTCCTCAGTGATACCTCATAGGTATTAGCATCACTTAGTGTAGCAGGTTTTGTTTTGTTTTTTTTTTAAACTTCTAAATACGGCTTGAAAACCGTATTTTGACTGGAAAAATATGGTCAAGATGTATTGCTAAGTAAAAAAAAGAAAAAAAGAGAATGTGGATGTGGAAGTTTTCTGAGCAGTGTGTACAGGGTGACTCTTTGTGAAAGTAGAAAGGCAAGGTCTTTGCATATGTGGATATGTGTTTGCGTACTGTAAATATCAGAAAAGATCCTAAGCCAGAGTTCTGAATTTCCAAACAGAAACTGTCAACTCACATAACACAAGTAAAAAAACAACTATGGAGTAACACCTTTGAAGTGGTTGGTAGCCAGGCTTCAAGGCTGGCTGCCTAGTAGCCATTTTTAACAGGGTGATTCTGCAAAGGTGCATTAGTAGTTCTTCATGTGCGCTTCACTGAAGTAACTTTATTGGTATCAGTAAACCTGCACGGACGACCTTAGAATTTACTCTGAACACTTGCTTTTCCTTCGTTTCTTCAGCTTCCAAATCAGAGTCTACTGAGGGTGAATTTGATTAACAGAGAGTTTTGTGATATAGCTGCAAGGGAAGCTGGGATGAAAGCTTGTGTAACTCAAGAGCCTGCCTCATAAGAGGGGCAAGAGCCTCAAATGTGGATAAACCTACGAAATTGTTAGCACTGATGATTTCTGGGCAATGCATTTCAGAGACTGGGGAACAGGGGTAAGCTTGTATTTCATTTTCTTTGTTTTGCTCTTTGAATACAAAGCAGAAGTATACAGATCAGTTTATTGTAACGAGGAGGTGGGGTGAGAACAAAAGAGCAGCCATTTTCCGGGAGTACTCTTCCCGTACTGCTGCTCTCATGGAACTTCAGAGTTGCTAAGCTTGTCAGATTTGTTACATTCCTACCTAAATTTATGTGATAATTTCTTGTGCTTGATTATATAGAAAAATCATAGAATTGTTTCCCTGGGATACCAGTGGATTAGTCTTTTTTCTTTGGCCTGGTGAAACTATTTGTCTAATCTTTGTGAGGTCTGTAAGGTGTTGGCCGTTATGGGCAATATTGTTCATCGATGCCAAAGTGCAAAACTGAAACACAATGAATTTAATCCTACTGTGTTTTCTCTTATGCTCCAAGTGCTTGTAAGTTTCCTGCTTGAAAGAAAACTGGTCTGAGAACTGAATGCAGCCAAATAGGGTTTTGGCAAATTTGCTAATCATTTTTAAGCTTCCTTTAAAATTAACATCTAATTATTCTGGGTGTGCATGACACTGTCTGTGAGTGGAAGTCAGAGAATAGCATCGGCCAGGGGCTGCTCTTCTTCTACCACTATGTGGGTTTTTGTAATTGAACTCACGTTTCCAGGCAAGTCGCGGCAAGAAATTTCACATGGTGAAAACATTTTACTGGACCCAAATTTATAAGCATTTAAAAAAAGAAGTTTTATATTTATGAAAAGAGGAACAAAGTACAAGGAATCCCACCCATCGTAGTCTGTTTCCCCCTAGTCATCATTTTACCATTGTATGCTAAATTCTTATGCTTAGCCAATACTGAGGAGTTAAGCTGGACTAGAATCTGTATCATTAAAATGTTTTTTGGTTTCTGACTGCAGTCTTCCATGCTTCGGGGTAGCTGATTTATTTCACATGTTGCAAATTCATCTGTGCAGTGATTTTGCAGAGCTATGCAATAAAATTTATCATTTCACACGAGGCTTTCAACAATGAGGTCCTGTCACAGGGAGACTCTTGTATTCTTTAAGACACAAGCATCATGTGAGGAACATTAACTAACTTTTGCTTTTCTCTCTCATGTATTCAGTGGAGCAGGTCCCAGTAGAACCCTACAAGATCCCCCTGTCTCAGGCTGAAGTCATCCAGGAGGGCAGTGATGTAACTCTGGTTGCCTGGGGCACTCAGGTCTGTAATGCTGGCCGCCCGCTGAGCTCAGACTGTCTGGGGAAGCTTTGGCTTGTAATTCTGGTGTGTTCTTTACGTCTCAGATGGTGTCTTTGTGCTAATGGTGTTCATCCTCACCTCCAACTTTATTAAGGCATAGCTGACAGATAATGATTTGAGGTGGACAGCGTGATGATCTCACGCATGTATACATTGTTGAATGACCCCAATCAAGTTAATTAAGAGTTCATTGCTGCAGGGCGCACGTGCATGCGTGTATGCAGATTGAGGAGACATATGGTCTACCCTGAGCAAATATCAAGTAAATGATCCAACCTTTCTTTTTAAAGGAGGGTTTTATTTATTTTTATTTTAATTAACTTTCTTCTTTGACATACATACATACACACACATACACACACACACACACACCTCTCATCCTGTAATCCTCTCATATCTCTCGTTCATCCTTATCACTGCCTCTTTCTTTATGCCCCTCAGCCCCGTTGCTAGATTTATGACTTCCATGACCCACTTAGCTTAACCACAGGGACATCCATGTGAGCAGTGTATTGGGACTGTCCACTGGAGCCTGGTGGGGTCACCAGTCTGAAGGCAGAGGTTCCTCTTCCCCATAAATCTCTCAGGAGAAAAAGTTCCACAGTGAGATGTGGGGTCCCCTAACTGCTTCCTCCATATATGTCTGGCTGTTGATAGGCCCATTCATGTGGAGACCAAGGGCAGCTATTCACAGCTGTTCTAAGTTCATGATTTCGGTGGGGGTGTCATGCCTAGAAGATGGTGTTTTGAAGCCCTTCTCCCCATCTTCCAGCTTTTTCTGCCCCCTCTTCCACACTGTCACTGAGCCTTAGAGAAGGTGGAATGTCTTACTTAGGTCTGAGTACTCAGCTATCATGTATCCTCTACACCTTATGCAGCCATGACCGTCTTTAAACAGAGTCTTAAGGTGGCTCAGGTCGGCCCTTGAACTTGCTGTGCAGCTGATGATATGACTGAACTGATTTTCCTGCCTGTACATCCCAAGTGCTGGGATTACAAGCTCCTGCTGCCATGCCCAGGTCATGAACAACACAATTTTATTAGCTTAGTCACAGTGCTGCACATTCATTCCTTGGAATTTCCTTATCTTGTGACTTGAGGTTTGTAGTAATGCTTGCTGGATAGAAGTGAGGTGCCTGTTCAATCAGTCATAGTGAGATATTGAATGGGTGCACACAGCTGTGTCCATTAAGAACAACTTTGCAGCTCATATTGCTTTGAGATCATGCTGCATTGAGATCTTTATCATCCTACATTTTGCTCCCTCCCACTCATGCTTTGCTGGCCAAGTGTACTATCTCTCCTATGAGCCAGTGATAGAATTCGGCCTCAGCTGTGACAGCAGGGCTTGCTTTTACACACATCACACACACACACTTCCTCTTCCCCCCGTCACTCACTCTCTTTCTCTCTCTCCCTCCCCTCCTCTCTCTGAGCTGGTTGTCAGCCATCATGCATGATGCTGAGGACTGAACCCAGGTCCTTTGCAAGAGCAGCAAGTGCACTGAGCCACTTCTCCAGTTCCTCTTCTTGTTATTAAACCCAGCACTTACCTCCTAACTTTGGTGTTACTACTGTCTACTTTTTGTCTTTGGGTTATACTGACTTTGTTTTCCAGTTGTTGTTTTTTTTTTTAAGTTGTTTTGTTTACATGTAGAACTCTTGTTCTGCCATTTTTCTCTAAATGTTGGTGGTGTGTGGCCTTTCTTTCTCTATATGCTCCCTAACCATCTAGACTTTGCCTCTGACTTCATTTGCCTTCTGAGCTTTTGGAATAGATGTTTCTCTCTTTCTCCTTTGCATTTCCTTCGAACTGATTTCTAGATCTTTGTCTTTGTGACATGGTGATTAACATGCCTAAAACATATCTATGGATTCTCCCTGGAGATCAGTTCTCCAGCTGTAGACAATGTCATTATGAATCATGCTGACATTCAACTAGTCTTTCAGCTCTGAACCATTCCAGTCATTCTCTGTGTATCTTCCCTCATTTTCAGGTTCATGTCATCCGGGAGGTGGCTTCCATGGCCCAAGAAAAGCTCGGAGTGTCTTGTGAAATCATTGACCTGCGGACGATTGTGCCTTGGGATGTGGATACAGTTTGCAAGGTATCAATCTGTAGCCGTTGCACTGCTGTTTCCTTAAGGCCTTATGTCACATCTGTTGGATATTTACAAAGAACCATTTTGAAATTGTGAGTTGCATGAGCATTTTTAAACGTTTGATCTTGTAATGTGGATGGAGTAGGTGCTGTGTAAAGAGCTTGATGTTGAAACCACCAGATCCCTATAGACTGTCTTTGTCCTCCCATGGTTTTCTCTATTTAAAAATATCTCAATGTTGTCCTGTTGCCAACTCAGATTGAATTCTGTGAGAAACAGAATGGTACAAAGAGAGGATGTCAGGACCACTGGTGTCAACTGTGCAGGCAGCTAATTTCTTAACTGGTTAGGTTCAACAAGCTGGGTTTGATTTAGTGAAGTCAGTGATTTGGGTCAGTTTTAAAAGAGTTTTCTCTGTAATCCATCACATTATTACTTATTATTTAACTCTAGTTATATCACTTTGATCCTGTGTACCACAGACTGAGTGTTATGTTGTGGTATTCTGTCTACTCTGAATGATAGTTTCTGTCCTGATGTTTAGATTAGATTGCAGATGCCCTTATTACTAAGTAAATTCACATCGTTGTCTTTGAAAAATAGAGCTGAGTTCTCAGATACTTGTTTGGAACTGGTGTCCTACACACTGAGTTCTGCGTGGTGAACAGAGCGTAAGCCCTCACATCAGTGGCTGAGGAAGGTTCTGATCTCTGTCTTGTGATGATCTCATCTACTCAAGTCTAGGTAACAATTACAGGCATTTCTCCCCTTTTCTCTGTTTGTTGCTATACAAATAAACCTTGGAGTATTTTATCTTTATTAGTCTTAAAATTTAAAAATATTATTAGTTCGTTGAGAATTTTATATAATGTGTTTTGACCTTAGTCACCCCTCTAACTCTTAACTCTTCCTTGATTCACTCCCTCTCCATATCTACCCAACACAGTATTTTCTTTTTTTAATTGTTTTTTATATTTTTTTGAGATTATGTTATAATTATATCACTTCCCTTTTCCCTTTCTTTCCTTCAAATCCTCCTTTATAATCCTCCCTGCTTTCTTTCAAATTCATGGCCTCTCTTTCCATTAATTATTATTGCTTACATATATGTATATACAGATATAGTCCTTAATATATAAATACAATCTCTTCAGTCTGTTAAATGTTACTTGTATGTAGTTTTAATTGCTATGCTCTTCCTGGGGAAAGACTACTTCTACTGTTCTTGTTCCCTAGTTGTCTATAGTTCTTTGTCTTTTAGGTTGAGGCCTCTTGGAGCGCCCCCTACCTCATTAGCATGTCAGTTGTTACATTTGGTCTGTTATATTGGTGAGACTATAGGTGTAGGTAGCATCATTACCGTCATTACTGAGAGACACAATCTCATAGCAAACTCCCCGTTCCTCTGGCTCTTAAAATCTTTCTGCTCCCTCTTCCACAATGTTCCCTGAATCTTAGGTGTGGGTGTTGTTTTGTAGCTGCATTTATGGCACTGGGCTCCACAACTCTGCATTTTGATTGGTTGTTGTTTTCTGCAGTGCTCTTTAACTGTTGTAAAGAGTAAGGACTACATTTATCTCTGTGTGTAAGAGCTGATATTTAGAATGTAGCGAGGGGTTGTGCTGGCTTAGTAAAGAGGCAGTTGTAGGTTCTCCTCCAAGATCCATGACTTCACTAGCCCTGGGTAGTTGGCTAGGTTTCCAGAACCAAGCATGATTTCCTTTTTTATTGAGTGGGCCTTAAGTCCAATTAGAAAAGCTATTGGTTATTGCCAAGGTATGTGCGCCTGTACTACACCCTTAGGGCCATTGTTCTGTGCTGACTGTCGTGGCTCATAGGCATCATAGCTGTGTAGACTGTGGGCTGCTTTTCTCCACTGGGAGATTGCATGGTGCCTCCTGGTATCGTGAATGTTAGTCTTCAGGGAGAAGACAGTCTGGTCATTTTCAGCTCGGGGGCCTCTGGCCCCTGGTTTTAAAGTATATGGTGTCTTTAGCAATAGGGGCTTATTATCTTCCACCTCTTTGGGGGAAACCAATGGCAGTGGGAGTAGCCTGTAATGCTTTGGGAATCTCTCGGACAACCTGGCCAATGACTCAGAAGAGGGCTTCTCACGTCTGGTAGTAGGCTTTTTTGTTAGATGGATTTTGGATCTTGGAAGGAGAGTTTTCAGCACAGATGAGAAATTTCATTTAAACTATATGTATATTTATACACAGACTTATGTGTATTAAAGTTTTAAAAAACATTTTAGGTTGTTAATAGTCTGATTTCTTATGACTTTTTCTGGCTCCACTTCTTTTATAAAGAACAAACAGTAAAGCCACATCTGCCTAGGATTTTCTTGATATATGGTTACTTGAAATGAACTCAGTTCCTAACTCAGTTAATGACAATGAAGGTTTTCTAATTCTTTATTTACTAATTTTAAACAATTTTGTATCTTTACAGAAATTTTATCTAGAATTTGTTCATAAAGCTGTTAGGATTATTTAATCTGCTTATATTTATTTAATTGCTTCTATGTGAGTTTACATCTATCATCCACTGTCTTTTTTTTTCTGACCCCAGCTGTTTTTTGTACATATTTCATTTGTTCTTTTGGGTTGACCAGCTATTTATAATTTGCAGTTTTTACTAGCTTGCTAGCTCTGCAGTCTTTCACTATCATTTCACTCGAGATTATAACATACTCCTGGTTATCATAACAAACATGATATGCTTCACGTATAATCTCGAAACTGGACAGTTGCGTTCTTGCCATAAACTAAAACTTCCTTAATCCTAAGAGTTTATTTGCTACACTCCCGTGCTGTGATTCCCTGGGCAACATTCAGAACTCTGCTGTGCATTCCAGAGGACATATAGTGAGTGGGTACACTCACATGTACCCGCATACTCTCAGACATACATGCTAACACATATACACACATATTCTTTCACACAAACATACACTCAAACATTAACTCCCATGCATGCCCATGCACTCAGGCAAACACACACGCATTCAGTCACACACATAGACACATAAAGTAATATGTTTCCACACATTCAATCACACACGTCCATGCATATACTAATATATAAATCACACATGCAGTCATACACATATACACAAATACGGTCACTCACACTCACAAATACACACATACACGCAGACATAAACATATACATATATGTTAGACACATACGCTCAGACATACATGCTACCACACATCCACTTATGCAAACACAATTATACATATATACTCAGACACATACCTATACACACAGTTACACACACACTTTGTCTTGCACTCGCTTACTCATACACTCACACACACACACACACTCACTCTCACACACACACTCACTTTATAAACGATGTGCCAGGGCTAAGCAGACAATAGAAAGCCTCAGCTTTCCCAGAATCACTTTCCTGTGGCAGCTGCTGAGGCATGTGTTGCATATATTGCTTTTACCTTTAATGGCATTTCCTGATCGAGCACACCAAAACACGAGTGTAACAGATAATGATGGAAGCTTAGGAATCCAGTTTGACCTCTGACAAAACACAGCTTCTAAGAAATATGACTACATTTCGATATCTATAAAATTCATAAAGATGAGGGGTATCTTGACTTGAATTAAGCAAAACCAAAACCAAAAATCAACCAAAGCTTTTTGCTTGATTATAGGGTCCTCATCTTTCAAATCACCCGTAGTTCTGGAGTGTCTGGAGTTGATTCCTCAGGGGTTAAGAACACTTGCTGTTCTTGCACAGGACTTAAGTTTGGTTTCCAGGGCATGATGGCTCAAAATTACCCGTAACTCCAGTTATGGGTGATTGGACTCCCTTTTCTGGCCTCTGTGGATACCAAGCACATATACATACATGCATAACACTCACAAAATAAAAATCAATAAATCATCTGTAATTCCTTGGGTAAAAGGCTACGTATTGAAAACGTTCCCTTTTGATATTGTAAAAGGAAAACAGGGGCTGCACCAAGGTAAGTAGTGAAGGGAGTCACAGACAGACCCACAGTCATCAAGGATTGCCAGCTGGCTTCTGTCGAACTGGAGGGCCATCAACCAGAAAATAAGCATGATGAAAGCGGCCCAACACAAAACCAAGATAATGACTCTTAACAAGACAGAGGCCTCGTTCAGCAGGAAACTCTGCTCTTGTCTTTTATCTTCCTGAGGTGAATGGAGCCTTAAGGACATAGGCTCTGCAATCTAGGATCACACACAGAAGCAACTAGGACATCTAATAAAGGGAGGTAAAACCAAATTGATAGAAGTATCAATATTTTCCTTTTCTTCCTCTGCCTGCCTCTTTGATTTCATGATGCTCATTTGGTATGTTATTATATTTGTGTTTTGCTCTAAGGGGCTATAAATCCTTTTTGAGTGTAGAAGGTATAAATACAGTTGAATAAAATGCAAAAAATAATTTACCCAATTAAATATCAGAACACAGACTTCATCCCAACCCCAATCACACCAAGATAAAAATCTCCTATCTTCTTGAGAAAGTACCACCCACACTAAAAATACAAGCCCAATTGGGAAAGACTGTATTGCCAACAAGATGGTAGCTGTAGTTTAGCTAGGCTTTGACAAACTATGTAAGGGTTTAATATACTGTTAGAAGTACTTGTAACCAAGTCAGGTGTTTGACTGATGTCAAGTGGGTTTACAAAACCCTTACTAGTCTCAGATCTACAAAATCACATCACATCCTTCTTCCAAGAGCATCTTGATCTGCACTTTCATTACAGTATATCTGCATTATTTTCTTTTTTTTTTGAATTTTATTTTTTTCTTATCAGTTACATTTTATTAACTCTGTATCCCAGCCGTGTCCTGATCCCTCATTCCCTCCCAGTCCCTCCCTCCCTCCCTCATCTCCACCACGCCCCTTTCCAAGTCCACTGATAGGGGGGACCTCCTCCCCATTCATCTGATCCTGTTTTATCAGTATTTTCTTATGAATTTCCTAAGAACTAGTCTGTAAAAGC